GGGGGGAGGTGAAATCGTGAAGCAGCGGGTGCGTTGTTGAAATAGGTGAGATTGCGCGCAGCACACACGTGTGCGGATGCAAGTATTTTTTACCTCCAGGAGAACTCCGTCCGAGAGGTTCAAGAAATCTTCAACATTGAAAATTGCATCGGAGAGTTTGTAGACCGGTTCCATGACCTTTAGAACATCTACGAGCATGAGCTCGATGGCGATGCAGTTCTTGTGTAGATAGACGTTGTTGAACATGTCAAACCTCGTTCTGTAGAACGCGAAGACGTCTGACTGGCACTTCAGATCGAAAACGATTTTGCCTTCTTGGCTGATGGTACTGTTATTCATGAGCCGTCCAATATTGACTCTGGGTAGTCCGGGGGCGATGGTGACATCCCTGCGGAGGTAGTCCATGCGGTCGACGTCGAAGCCAGTGTCCGCGTTGTGGATGAGGGAGAATGCGCCTCTTCGGAACTTGTCGTCGTCGATCTTATAGTAATTGGTACAGGACATGGTGGCGGGGGAACGGGCGGGTGTGCCTAGGGAGGGGCTTAATACGGACTCGTTCATTGACACCATGGCTTCCGGCTGCCCAACGGCGCCGGCGCTGGACGAGTTTAGGAGGGAGTCCGCATACGTGCGCACTACGCCCTCTGATGACCGTGCAGCGTGGTACCCCATGCCAGGCCCGAAACTCGTATCTGCCCAGGGCAGCTGTGCCGGCTGAACCAAGTTGGCCGTGGCATCCGGCGTCTGTGCCTCCACTGTCTGTGCCTCCACTGTCTGTGTCTCGCCAGGGAGGTTCCCGAGGATCATATTACAGATATCTTTGCGGGAGACTGCACCACCCAAGTCGTCCACAAGAGGTCCCAGTGGGCCCGTATCGCACAAGTACTCCACGAGCGCGACACTCATGTCTTCATGATGCCAAGCGGGATAATAGTTATGTACAAACACTTCAAAGGCATGGCTGAATGGGCCATGACCAAGGTCGTGGCAAAGTCCAGCGATCTGAAGTGCAGTCTTAACCGACTCCCATTCAAAGGCGTTGGCGCTCTGTCGCGGATAGCACGAGTTGTGCAGCTTACTGAACCACTCGCCGGCTAAATGTCCCACACCCAGACAGTGTTCGAAACGTGTGTGTACCGCACTCGGATACACATAACTCGCAACACCCACCTGCTTAAGACCGCGCAAACGCTGGAACGGCTTCGTATCAATCACCGCCTCCCAAATGTCATTCGCAAATGTTATGGTGTCATATACCGGGTCTGCCACACTCCGGAACCTCTTGCACACCCGCTGCCGAGTCTGCATCAAATCACGCAAGTAACTTACCGTGTTCGGACTAAAGTGCACCAACTCATATGGACTCGCCAAAGCGCCTTCCAGACGAGCAAATGTGGTCACCCCAAAGGTCGATAAACGATCGTACAAGTCGCCCCGGTTACCTTGACTCAGCGCCCTACAACAACTCACACTATGTAGGTCTCCCCACCCGTGCCAACGAGAAGGTCTGCACCCGATTAGAACTGTCAGACCTGATTAGGGTGGGCCGGCAAGTTAGGGTGAGGGCGTACGGTAAGTGACTGTGGGGATGGGTACGTCAAGGTATTACCGTTGCAAGTCGCTGGCTGGGGTCATGTGTTCATTGACCGAATTGCAGGCGTTGGTTCGATTTCGGCGAAGGTGGATTTCGGCCATATGAAAACATGAGCGTTTATTTTGAAAAAACGTTCGGACTTCTGCATCCAGCTAGGCTCGACTGTGTGGTCGTTCCCAGGGGGTTATTTCGGTCTAAACAGTTGGGTGTTGTTCTCAGTTGGTTTAGGCTTCGACTTGGGCGGTGAGGAGGTTTTTGGCCTCGGGGGCTTCGTCGGCTCCGTTGCCGGCTTCTACGCCGTTGTGGAGTTCAAGAAGTTTAGCGGCATCAGTCTTGGGCTTTTTGACGACCTTGACCTTACGAACACAGACGTTTTGCAGCGGGTAGATATGCTTGCAGGCCTTTTCGATCTGTTTGCCGACGGCCTCAGGAATGAGCTTGCGGACAAGTTCGCGAAGGTTGCATTGAGATGCTTCTTCCTGCATGATCTTCACCATGTTCTGACGGATGGCACGGACCTGGGAGCTCTGGGCGTAAGAAGTAACCTTCTTCTGACCGGCTGAGCGACGAGTCATGCCGATGGCGAACATACGGAGCTGGTAGCCATCGAGAGTTTTGACGTCCACGTGCGCTTGGATGAGAGTATGCCATTTGCGCACGATGAAGCAGTAGTAGTCGCGAGTGATGTCCATACCATGGAAGTCAGTCAAACAGTTGCGGCCTTGCACGTCCTCGCAGATCAACTTAATCTTTCGGTGGCCCTGGCCCTCGTCCTTCTGCAAGTCGGCCATGTTGACGTCGAACACACGACCCTTAAGGTTGTCCTCCGCCTTCTTCAAACCCTGCGACCGAGAGCACAAGGTGTTGCCAATATTGGCCGTTTTGAAGTAAGCAGGCGCCTTCACCAGGTAATGCTCCTTCTTAGCAAAGGCATCCACCACCTTCTTCTTGCCACCCTTCCGGCCGCCCTTTGACACACGCTTGTTCTTTCCGATAGCCATAGCCGACGCCTTACTCGAAAAAACCGCCCCAAAAATCGCACGTTACGTCCCCTGACTTCTCTTAAACCCACAGTCAGAGTCCCCACAAGCCGTAGTCCAACTCGTAACTAGCCCCAGCGGGGTTCCCTCCCGGCTGCAGCAAGGCCGGGAGTTGGCCGAAATTCGCGAGACTAACGGCATCCTGGGGAAGACCAGGTCGTGCGAACCAAAGGCCCAGAATGGCAAGGGGAAAAGACACCTGGGTCAGGCATGGCAGCTTGAGGTTGGGTTGGAAGGGCCGTTGAGGCCACTGGGTGGTGAGAAACCAAGAAGTTGTTTCGGGGCTACCCATGCCCGGCGGCTCCGGTTTTTTTTAAGGACTGGGATGTACTGATAGTGGCAGGAAAGAAATGAGCACTGAGGCGATTCCTTTTGAAGGTGTTGAAAAACGCTTGGTCATCCAGTTTGCGAGGGTTCACGAAGACGAAGCACTTCCGTTTGGAGAGTGGAGCGATGAGGGGTTGGTCAAAAGCCCGTTGAGCATGTCGGCTGCTGAATGGCAGAGCGTGCTGAATGAGGCCTGTTGTGAGGTTGTGAGTGAGGTCTCACAGACGAACAGGTCTACGGGTGAGGTGACGCGTGTTTACCTATTGAGTGAAAGTACCCTGACCGTGTGGAAACAGGGATTTTTGCTTAAGACATGCGGGCGCACCACTCCCTTCCTGGCCCTGAAGGCCTTCCTCACGCGGTACAGCTGTTCGACTTTGGATCACTTGAATGTGAGCTGGATGACCTACTCAAGACTGAACTTTCTTCACCCCGAGTTCCAGATATACCCCCATCGCACGTTCGACGAAGAACAAACTTTTGCCACCGAGCACTTCATGCCGCTCGCAGCCACGCTGCACGCCTGCTCGCTTCCCGCCGGCAGGTTTGTGCTCCACGTGCTTTTCTACTCACGTGACCGTCCGGGTCAACAAGACCTCGCACGAAGCGAGACGTACGCCACGCTCAGCGATAGCGCCCGTGCCTTGACCAGCCCCGTCTCCAAGTTGTCTTCGGACCCGACCGGCTGCGACCCGTCTGGCTCAGACCCATCTGGCTCCGACCCCGTCGGCTCCGACCCGCCCTCGGACGACCTGGGTTACCTCATGAACGAAGTTTTGATGACCCGTATCCGACCAGATTGCGTCCGATGTCTTACCGGATATGACAATAAACAAGAACGCGATACATCACACGAACAGGCATCGGTGCTCCGTGATGTCCTTGCTGCCAAGTCCGAACACAATGTGGTGGACGAATTCTGGTTCGATCCTTGTGGCTATAGCGCCAATGTGCTGTTCGAATCCGAGGACGGCCGCCACACAGAGTATTTCTCGACACATATCTCACCTGAGGATTGCACCTCCTATGCGTCCCTAGAAATTGGCAGTTGTCGTCCTGTTGCCTCGCTCCTGAAGCAATCACAGTTTGCCCTTGAGCCACTGGTCGATTGCTTCGACGCTCAAAATCTCAATGTCACTCGCGTGCTCATTGTACCCTCCAACCATCAAGCCTCTACTCACGACTACCCCCTACAGACCGAGCAAGACGTCACTACACAGGTATTTGCCAACACAGATTTCACGTGCCTGATTACTCACACCGCCTCGACCGGTTCCTCCTTCATCGAGCCCACCACAATCACTCGGTCGACTCTGAAAACCTCGGAAATGGAGACCAGCGATTGCGTCCACGACATCAGTGATGACTGGGTACGCGGAGAGCAGATTTCCGTTTAGCCACTGAAGACTTCAGTGCAAAGATGTGGCAATGTTCTCCGGACAATATATGCCGGTTCTGTTACTCAACGCTTGATGTTCTGTCACCCGATCGGCCAGCAGTGTCTTGTCGTTCTCAACGTGGTTTCACAACAAGAACACAACAAGGTTTGGCATCGCAAGCAGCGTTGATTTTCGACGGATGAAAGACCACTCATGAGCATCTTTTTGATTTCGAACGGTCATAATGCGCAGCTAAAAAGCACCCCGGTTCCCCCTCCCCCTTGGGGCCGTCCCCCCTCTCTAAGGGCTGTTTCCCTCGTAACACATCATCCTCTTGTGGAAGGCGAACTTCGTGGAAGGCGAAGGTCTGTGAAAGGTGAACCCGTGAAAGGTCAACCATCGCCTTCCATTCAAACGTGTGGCGAGCCTGTCATGGACACGAAGACTTGAGACGATCGGGGCGAGTCAGCAGACCTCATGGACGCGCGGCGCTGTCCGGCATAGCGACGGCTTTCTGCGCTGAGATGGCGGGTGCCATCAGCAAGTCTTTTGTGCGGTCTGTTTTGGGGTCTGGGACTTCTCACCAGACGGGAGCTTCTGTCCAGGCGGGAGCTTCTGTCCAAGCGGGAGCTTCTGTCCAGTACGCCTCCCGCGCTTTTGCGGAGCCGCGTTCCAGTGGAAGGGGTGGAAGAAGGCACCCAAGTCTTCGACCAGTCCTTCAGATGGTTGGCTTGCTCGCGATCGTTCTTCACTTGGTTATGTTCCGCGTGTAGCAGGTCATTCACGCCCACGCTGCGACTCAAGCCGAACGCGACCACGAAGAAGAATGTCACCAGCAATAGAAACATCGCAAACACTGCACCCTGCGGGCACACTTAATCATACTGAAAAGACACCCCAACGCAAACGGGAGTGGCGCCAACGCAAACGGGAGTGGCGCCAACGCAAACGGGAGTGGGAGTCGATACACGGGTCTGACAGACGTACCCAGACCTATACCCGACCTCCAAATACGCCGGACACATACTCCGCCTGTTTGCACACACATGTGTCCGCTCATCGTTGACCAAGTGCTGCCTCCCACGTGTTCCATTCCGCCTTGCCGCTGGCAGCGGGAGGCGGCGGAGGTTGTTGCAGCACGCTGTTCCAGTCATCGTCCAGTTGCTCTTCCTCTTCGGTGAACGCGTTGTTCGCACCACTGTTGCCCCATTGATTGTTGCCCCACTGTCTCCCCTCCACCGGAACGAACTGTCGGTTGACCTGGTCCTGGGGAGGCATCCTGGCGTTAGCAGTAACACCCGAGCCAGCAACCATAGCCGCGTTAGCAGCCATGCGCAATTGTTGTGTCCGTATCGGCTGCGGTTGCTGCTGATGAGGAGGAGGAGAGAAGCCGCCACTGGGGCCCTCGGTTGCATAACTGCTCGCTGAGAAACCACTGGCTGGGTTGCCACTCGGCGGCTGGCCGACTGGCGGCGAGAAGTTATCCGTTCGGGCCGGACCCTGGTATTCGCTTTGAGGCCCTCGTCGCGAGTCGGATGCATAGTGGCCTTGTTGGCTGAAGCCTTGCTGGTTGCCGCCTTGTTGGCTGAAGCCTTGCTGGTTGCCGCCTGGTTGGCTGAAACCCGTTCGGTCCGGGTCCGTTGGCTGCCACGTTTCTTGGGATCGGTGCCCTGGTCTATGCTGGTGCGTGTCCGGCTGTCTATATTCGTTGTAATGGCCCTGCTGCCGGTTGCGGTAGCCTTCTTGGTGTCTGCTCTGGCCTCGGTTGTTGCGGTAGTTTTGTTGATAGTTCTGGTGGCCGCCTGTCTGGTGACCGTTCCGCCCGGCTGACTGGTAGCTTGCTGGACGGGCGTCCATCTGTCTCGTGCCTTGCCGGCCGTCCTGGTGGTACCCTTGTCCGCTCCCTCTGCTGAACCCTGGCTGCGTCCGACCCTGCTGGCCGTACGACTGGTTCCTGGGCTGCCCTCCGTGACCGGAAGGCCCCCCGTAACCAGAAGGCCCTCCGTAGCCAGAAGGCCCTCCCTGAGTAGAAGGCCCTCCCTGACCAGAAGGCCCTCCGTAACCGGAGGGCCCTCCCTGAGCAGGAGGCCCACCCGGACTAGAAGGCCCTCCGTAACCGGAGGGCCCTCCCTGAACAGATGGCCCTCCCTGAGTAGAAGGCCCTCCCTGACCAGAAGGTCCTCCTTGAGGAGAAGGCCCGCCGTAGCTGGAAGGCCCTGCGTAATTAGACGGTCCTCCGTAGCTGGAAGCCCCTCCGTAGCTAGAAGCTCCTCCATAGCTAGAAGCTCCTCCGTAGCTAGAAGCTCCTCCGTAGCCAGAAGGTCCTCCGTAACTGGCTGGATTGTAGGCACCCGACTGAGGCTGACCCGACTGAGGCTGACCCGAGTGAAGCTGAGGCTGACTTGAGTGAGTTTGAGCCGGCGGCGGCTGTCCATATGTTTGATACTGCGGCCCTGGTCCAGCCCCTGCCGGTCCAGCCCCCGTTTCGTTCGGGTCAGGATAGCCAGCGCTGGCAGGGTACCCGGTGCCCATGGCCTGGCCAGCGCCTGTTGGGTAGTAGGTCTGTCTCTGCCAGCCCTCCTCCGGAACGACGGGGGGTTGGCCGTACGCTCCCGGTGCACTCCCGTCTTCGCGACCGAATGATGCCTGGTACTCTCCCGCAGCGCCATATGTTTTAGCGCCGTAGGTCTTGTCACCATAGGTCTTGGCGCCATAGATTTTGGCACCATAGGTCTTGGGGTCCGCCCTTGCAGCGTCCGCCCTAGCCGCATTATCGGGCTGAGAGAACGTGTGTGGTCCACCCGCCTGTTCCGGTACGACTGCTGGCGGATTCGCCCTCGGTGCTGCGTCCGTCCCCGCCTGCGGTCCGTACGTCAGGTGCACGGGCGCCATAACGGCCTGGTAAGGCTCTGTCTTCGGATAATCCGTTTCACCCCAGCCTTGCTCTGCAGGTCGAAGTGACCTCCTATAGGCCGCATCCGCCACCGGCTGCCCATAGTCTAAGTAGCCTGGAGCCGCAACAGGACCGGCACCAGGACCAATACCAAAACCGGGACTCGAAGTCTGACCGAACCCAGAGGAAGAACTTGCCCCCGATCCGGGACACATCTGGCCGGGTCCGGAACCCGTCTGAGGGGCTCCGGGAGTTACTGAGGCGGATGCGCCGCCTGCTGCGTAGCCGATATGCTCGTATGGCTGCTCACCCGCCTCCCCCACGTCCGCAACCTGCGTCGTCGGGCCCACTTGCCCGATCATTCCGGCTGGGACAGTCGGTTCGCTGTAGAGGGTTTGGGCCACGGACGGCTGCGCCATGGACGGCGGCTGGCTCACGGACAGCGATTGGGTCATGGACGGCGGTTGGGTCATGGATGGCTGGGCTGGGGGCGAGAAGGCGCCATAGCCGGTGGGTCCGGAGTAGGGCGCGAAGCCGGAGCGCGCGGGCCGTCGCTTTTCGGCCGCGGGTTCCCCGGACGCGGTGGCGTCTGCGATGCCACCGCGTGCGCGTGGAATAGCGGGGGCCGCCATTGGCGGTGGCGTCGCTGTCTGGCCAGCGCGGCCGGGAGGTTCGGGACCGCGGGGACGGCGCAAACGGCCAGACGCGGGTCCGCCCGATCCTCCATAAGTATTGATGGGTTGTGTGTAACCGATATTGGGTCCACCGTAAGTGTTGGAAGGTTGCGTGTAGGCGGTAGCCGCCGGGCCTCCGGGGCCCCCATAGACGGCGGCGGCGGCAGCGGCAGCGGGTTCCCTGGAGGCGGCGGCGTAGAGTTGGAAGGATTGGTTGTCTGGACCGGATTCGGTGAGGTCAATGGAGGGGGGGTAGTCGTAGGGCCCGGCGTTGCGGGGTTTGCCGGTCTTCTTATTGGGTCGGTTGGGTGCGAGAATCTTCGGGTCTGCTCGTTTGTGTCCAGGCGTTCCATTGCGTTTGTTCTTATTCTTGTGTTGCATCGGGGCTGCTGGCACACCTGTGTTGTAGCCGTTAAGTTCCACGGGCGCGCCGTAGGGGAAGCCGCCGCCATCTCGCGCTGTGCCAGAACCAGCGGTCGTGGCGGAGGTCATGGCAGCCGCGGAAACGCCGGTGGACACACTTGACTCGCCACCGGCCCAGTTGCCCATGGGTCCCACACCGCCCGTGGGGCCCAAAACGGGGACGAAGCTGTGGACGGCGGAGAGGTGTTTGAGGGCCTGGCAACCAGCGACTAGCGCCTGCCAGAAGGCAGCCATGGCGCCACTCTGCAGCGCTGGTAAACTGCGCGATTCGACTGTCATCACCAGCGGCGAGACAAAACCTGCGGCTGCACCCGACGCCTCCAGGTCCGCCAAGTACTTGAACTCACCACTATTCACCAGCTCCAACTCCGCAGCTTCCAACCCTACCACCTTCGCGTCCGGCAATCCCGGCGGGATTATCACCCCCCTACCAGAGTCAGAAAGCACTCCCGAGTTGTTAGACACTAAGCTGGCCAGAAACGGCGGGACGATCCTAGCGTGACCAAATGGGTCCGGAGTCGGCGTATCTTCTGCCACCGCACCCTCTTCCTCGTCGACCGCGCCCTCCTCTTCGTCCTCCACGTCCCAGGTCGCCGGCAGCACGGTCGTTGGCACGTCCGCGACACTTGTTCCGAAGATCGAATCCTGTCCACACACACCGGTTCCCACTCCCCCTCCCACTCCCGGGCCACCGTAAACCGCGGTTGGTCCTCCGTAGAGCGCAGCCGCCGCGCCGTACGGCGACTGAAAGGCGCCCGACATAGTCCCGAATCCCGCAGGCTGCGGAACAGAAATCTCTAAACCGAGACCGAGACCGGCGTCGAGGCCTAGGTCAGCACCCACACCAGACCCTGCAAGACCAGACCCTGCAAGACCAGACCCTGCAAGACCAGACCCTGCAAGACCAGACCCTGCAAGACCAGACCCTACAAGACCGGAGAGAGGCTGGTCGCGATGTTGATTCTGAGCCTGAGCGACATGGTCGTTCCACCAGGCACAGAGCGCGCGGCGTTGTTTGCTGTTTCCACCCACGACAACGACAAGTTTGAAGTGTAGCACAGCGAGGATACCGAGCCCGTCGCGCTCGAGGTATCCGACACCGAGTCGGCGGCAGGCATCTTGGTCCGTAGCAAGTGCGTTCAGTGCACGACGCCAGTCGTCGAGATAAATCCAGGCGAAGGAACGCGCCAATTCGCGCTTCGCCAACGTTTGGGTCGAAGTCGGGGTGGAGCTCGGGGTCATCATTGGGGGTCCAGTAGTAGTCGGCACCGTTTGGGGGAACTGAACGGGTGCAGGTACTGGTACGGGTCCGGGTCGGGAAACGGGCCCGGGTCCAGGAACGGGTTCAGGTTCGTGTTTGAGCATTGCCTTGAACTGTTCCTTGAGGAGGACGACGTAATCTTCGGAGGCAGCGCCTTCCTCTTCATCGCTGAGTTCCCCGTCTTCGGAAGCGCCGTCAGGCGCACACAGCGGCGCCAGCCATTTCTCTACGTCGGGACAAACCGGTGGGTCACGGAGGAGCGTTTGTAGTGCCACGCGCCGCAGTAGTCGCTCCGCTGCGCCGGGTATCACGTATAACTTATTTTTCTCGCGCCAACATAGGTAGCCTTGGGTTTGGGGGGCTGAACCTTGAGGTGGACCAGAACTCTGGGCCAGGGTGTCGGAATGCAGCGGTGCCTCGGGTCGTAAGACGTCGGAATTGGTGTGTATGGTGCGTGCTCGTTTGTTGGTTTGCGTGAGGTGCTGTGCGGTAGTGAGAGTATTGGATGTGGTAGGAGGTGGTAGGAGGAGGGAGTCGTGGTTGCCTGGACAGTGTACGGTAATGTGGGCTTCGTCGCAGAGCATTTTGCCGAGAGTGAGGAGGCCTTCAGAATCGCCGTGTACGAGTACGACGGTGGCGGGTCGTTGTTGTTCGACGAAGCGTTTGAGACCGGTATGGCCGACATGGTTGGCGAATGGGAAGTATCGGACCTTGCAGCTGACGGGAGTATTGACGCCGTCGATTGAGACGGATTTGGCGCCATTGCTCACCTGTGCGCCAAGTGTGCCCGCCACGCATTTGCCCGTGAAAATCACCAAGTTGTTAGCACCCCCACACCAGCGCCGGAACAACTTAAGCGACAGTCCTCCCGTCAACATACTCGGCGATGCAAACACAATCCCAGGCCGCTCGTCCTCCGCAAACTCCGGTTCAAATTGCCGCACCGATGTCATCACCTGACCCAATACTCCCTGACTCGAAAACCCTTCATTCACTGGGTGCGCCGTCCTAGACACTGCCAAATCGTGTACGTGCCGAGCCACCTCCTCATTCCGATCCACCCACCTGTCCCCCAATCGCCGGACCTGATTTTTCGAACCGCGACTCTGGTCTGTAGCCTCTCCACCCAAGATCTCTCCGCTCGGACACAGCGGTATCTCCAGGTCCTCCATGATGCCCACAATCTCCGCCTTCAACTCGTCCAACCCTTCTGTCGTCTCGCCGGTCGTCCCGTCGGCGCCCTTGGTCGACTCGTCGCCATTGGTCGTCTCGTCGCCATTGGCCGTCTCGTCGCCATTGGTCGTCTCGCTGGAGGTCTTCCGGCCCCCAGTCTGTCTCTCTCTCTCCCTTTCTCGCCAGGAGATAGCGTCTTCAGTGAAGAAGGACGGCCATCGAACGGGTTGCACGGGCAGGTCGGTGTGCGCGGTCCCTTCAATGAAGTGCTGATGCAGATCGTTCGCTCGCTGGCCCAGGTAACCACCGATGTAGACCGGCACCTCATCGAGGGAAAAGCCGTAGTCCACAAGTCCCTTAATCATAACTGCCAAGATCTCCTGCGCCTTGCCGACTGAGAAACAAGGCACCAAGACCTTGCCCTTGTTCTTCAGTGTTTGTCCGACCACGTGCGACATTTCCCGGTCAATGCTCGGCCTAGAGTCCTTGTGGTGGATAGCGTATGTCCCTTCGCAAATCACCAAGTCCAACCCGGCGACCGAGGGAGAGAGGGAGGAGAGAGAGGTGTCGACTGTCGGCGGGATTCGAGCCAGGGTGCTGCGGCTCGCGGATGGTGACCGAAGTTCGTCTACCAAATACTCTCGGTTACTGTTGAAGTCGCCGGTATACAGGCAACGCGTGTGACCCAACTCCACTTCGAACATAACAGCACCGAGCACGTGCCCCGCCTTATGTGCCATTACACTCAAATCGCCTGCCGGCTGCGGCAGCACCAACCGCTCACCGACGGAAATGCTCTTCACCTCCTGCAACGTTTTGGCCGGCGACTCCACCTGAAACTCCGTCGAGTTGTCCCCGCTCTGTAAAGGAGCCCCTTGCACAGGGCCCCCGGTCGCTAGGTTTTCTTGTAGCGGGTTGCCGGTCTGTAGTGGATTAATGCTGGTTAGCGGGGCTGAATTATGGTGCGTAATACCACCTTGCATGTCTCCCAAAACCAGTTTGGACAGCTCGCGCGTAGCGGAGGTGGCATAGATGGGGCCTTTGTAACCGCATTTCTGCAAGAGGTACGGGACGGCACCGATGTGGTCGAGATGGAAGTGTGTGAGCAGCACACAGGAGACTTTCTCCGTAAGCAATGCCCCGACTTCACTGAGGGGCGAGTGGGCTGGAAGGCCAAGCCAGCGCCGGAAGTCGGGGTACTTCTCCGTAGTTGGGCCGAGGTGGATGCCGCAGTCGAACATGACGCTCAGAGCCGCCTTGCTGCCGCCTGCTTCCGCAGTTCTCCGGCCGTACTCCTGAACATTGGGTTTGGTCGTTCCAGTCTGCCCAATCGGTATCCACGAGACTATGATGCAGGACCGCCCTATCTCTCTGCCACCTCCAAGGACATCCACCTGCAGGCTGAAGCATTTCATAGTTAAAAATCGTCGGCGGCTCCGCTAGCTGGCCCAGCCATCCTGCAGGGCTGGCTGTTGGCTAGTATTGGTCCCGCAGCTAGGCCGGCTTGGTGGAGCGTTCGAGTTGGACTATGGAGGGGAAGTCTGGTTCGACGTTGCAGAGTTCGATTTGAAGTTCGACTTTTTCCTCAAGAGCGGCATCGAAGCCCAAAGGTCTGTTCTCAGGTGCTCCCTGGGTCGGGGCAGCTGTCTGATCGGCGCCGCCGGATTTGTTGTCCTGGACGCGGCCACCACCAGGAGACTCCGGCTTGTCGGGTACAGAATCAACAAGTTTGTCGAGATTTTCTGGCCCGAGTGGGTAGACCGGCATCCACCAGTCGACCTGACTGGGGATGTTAATGGGCAGATTCTCGATGTTTAGCAGGTGGGGGTCTGAGTCAGACATGAGGGAGTAGAACTGTTCATTAAGTGCGCGCACGGTCGTGGGTTGGTCGTCTTGATACCTGTAGGGCTTCAGAATCTTCCCCACTGCGCCCATGGTCGTGTCCGTTTGGTGGAGTTTCATTGTGAAGCTTTCGGCCGAAGAGGGTTGCGCCGCTTGCTGCAGATACATGGTGTACAGTGGCTGGTTTAATCCGTCCACTTCCTTACGGTGCTTATGCTCCTTAATGATGTCCTGCAGCCACACATCTTGGGACGGACTCAACGGCAAAAGGATCTTCGGACTCGCCACTAGCTCATCAATCACCAACTGCGGAATCGGCTGCGTAGGCCGCAAAACCGAGGCGCAACGGCCTGCTACCATCTCTACATAAGACGTCCCAGATTTTACAAAATCGAAATTATTCAGCGCACTCTCCGTTATCGGCATACCACGATCATTAAACCCAATCGTGATGTCCGGTACTTCGTTATTCGGACGGTTTAATCTTATATTCGCATAACGCTGGATCGCCGTGTCGTCCGTCGTCTCCACCTCCGCGTTACTCAGTACTGGCTCGCTCAATAACGTATCCAACAACTGCTTATCCAACAACTCCAATGCATGCAACACGTCTACGAAGTTCGCTTTCATGTGATGTTTCATCGAACAGATTATACGAGTCTGACCTGCCAACATTCCAATATACGAATTCAATTCCGAAGCAATCGTATTCAACACCCCAAGAGACCGGAATGACTTTAAACCCATGTTGCTGGCAATAGCAGCAACCGACCTCCTTAATACTCGCAGCAAATAGTAGTATTCATTTTCTATTGAGGAGTCATCTACAACAACCAAATTGTTTTACGCGTGCGCTACAAACACGCGCGCGCGCGCTACAAATAGCACACGCGAATTCGAGTGCCCGTTAGCTTTCGTCCGCGACTGGTTGAAATGCGGGCCGGTTACCACCCTAGTTTCGGGTACATAGAATTTACGGCTGATTTCAGGAGAGCTTACATGTATGAACTCTTAAACTTTTCTTCATTTATTTATAAATGATTGTGAGAGCTGCGAGCTCTGTAGAGGAAAGCTAAGAACGGATAATTTTACATATATAAATCTTGGGTTGATGATAGCAGAATATGATTTAACAGCTCTGGACTCTCCTACATCAACGTCGTCGGAGAAGATTTTGGATTCGGCCGTTTCAAAATTAGACGGTGTACCGGAATTTTACACGATGGGGAGTGACGAAGCGAATAGTGGAAGTAAGTGGTCACATGCATCTCAGCTGTCTGTTGTTAGCTGCAGATGATATGTACCAAAACGAGTCCATGCGTTTATGCATCTTGCAGGACTGGAGGGTGATGTGCAGACTCATTGGCTGTCATAGTCGTTTTTCTACGGATAAAGCACGATGGTCACAACTAAGTGACACTAATAAAGAGCGGCTTAGTGTCAACGACGGTGTCCGGACCGACTATATCGACATGGTTCGATACGTCTCGCTGCCCGGGAACGTAAATCTCATCGTGGCCGAGGAGCCCATGAACCAGTACGTAAGGAGATTGAAAGCGGACCTTCGACGACTCAACGTCTGTACCACAAGCCAGGTGAAGCTGTACCTGTCCAGGTTAGCCCCACGCGGAGATCAGGAGTCGGTTGATGGGGGATCGAAATCGGTGGAATCGAGATCGGCAGAATCGAAATCGGTAGATGAGAAGTCCGTGGAGGCCGTCGGAACAGACGCTGAAAAGACAGACAGGATAAGTGAGAGAATAACTATTGGACGGGAAAAGGGCCTGCCTGCTTGTGGCCTGCCTGCTTGTGGCCTGCCTGCTTGTGGCCTGCCTGCCAACACTATGTCGTCGGGTCCAGACCCGACTGTTTTCCGAATATCGCCGGCTTCTTCGCAAGAAAATTTAATAGACGAGTCTTCTGTCAAAATGGTCACAGCCGTAGCTACGGCATCAGTTACGGCCTCAGTTACGGCATCAGTTACGGCCTCAGTTACGGCCTCAGCTACGGCTTCAGTTACGGCCACAGCATCAGTCACGGGTTCAGTTACGGGTTCGGTCATGCCTTCAGGAGCCGCGGCGGCGACGTCAGGGCCGCGTTTGCCAGTGTTTTCGGCGTCTGATAAGCATGTGATATTTGCTATCAACTGGTTCTCTCCACAGGGTGTGAAGGATTGGTTGACGTTGGGTTTGAAGTTGATATCGCAGTCTTCATTAGATCCACAATTCCGGGCGTTGGGCCCGCAGTTTCTGCAAATGGCTGAGGATTTGTTGTGGGCTCCGACGACAATTAAGTATCTGAGTGATCGTTGCGTATCGGCAAGTACATTGCATTGCAGCCCTATCAAATTGATGACTTGTACGGGCTTCAGCATGGGCGGTGCCGTGGCACAGGCGTTGTGTTACATCCTACGTGAGTCCAAGCGCCTCAGTCTACCTATGAGGGCTGTAGGCATCGGTAGTCCACGTCCTGGAGGGCCACAGTTCACTAAATGGTTCAAGGAGAACCTCGAGATCGGCAGCTGCAACATTGTACTAACCACCTCCACCTGTACTGAACGGGACCTTGACGAAGCTGTCCAGCTAGATCCAGCTACAACCTACCCTTCCATCGAATATGGCTATGACTATCACCCCATTTGCGTACTTCTCAACAAACAAACTGGTACCTGTCGGAAACTTAATAGAATCTCCACATACGACGTAACCCCACGCTCCACCCCTACGACTCTGAAAGTGTCTCTGACCCTCCCTTCTTTCAGGTTAACACAAGCGTGCTAAAATCTATATGGACGTCCATACCCGGCATGGACGCGAATAGAGACCAGCTCTGGCGCGATCTCCATAGTGTAACAAAATACTACGAGGCATTCGTGCGTGGCTAATCATACATACTCTGGGTTTGCGTGAAGGACGTGTGTGTAGGGTAACTAAATAGCTAGAAAGGTCAGAACTCTCGAGGGAATACTCCACCGCTGCACACCATCACGCTGCAGGCAATGCCCGGAATGAGCCTCTGACGCGCAGCAGGGCATCACCGCCGCGGGGGATCGCGGTAGGAGAGGCCTTAGTGACGCTTGAGTTGGGTGGGGGAGGCGATATCTTCCCGACGGCTTCTTTTCAGCCCCACTTTTTGCACCTGTCGCGATCTTTTCTACTTCTCGTCCGTGCGGTGATATCATGAGGTGGCTGGCCATCGCCACCCGTCTCAATTTTCACTCATTCGTCCAACGTTCAACGCCAAAGTTCAACGCCAAAGTTCAACACCAAAGTCAGAATTGTGTGTGCACACGGCTCGTCAAGAAACAGAAACTTGGAAGAAGCACTATCAGGCCCGAACCAGTCAAACCCTAGTAGGTATCAGGCCCGAGCTGATCGATTAGCTTCGAGTGCACATGGACTGAGTGAATAAGCTCACCAAGTTCACCGGGATAAATCTCATTTTCCAATTTCCCCAGGTCTTCGGACAACTGGATAATGCAATTCTCTAATTCATGAATCGCGCTATTCGCTTCACGGGCCTTCCCTACAAAACCGGAATGACTCTCATCACCTTCTTTCAGACACCACCCAGACGTCACCAGTAATCACGTGTGACACTCGTGCTCGCTCCCCTCCCCTGGTTTTAGCGTGTCTTACGTTCTATAGTGGGATCCTCGTCCGATTCCTTGGGCTGTATATCCTCAACACGTTTTTGAAGCGCAACGATTACGTCCATCATCGATTTTTGCTTTGCCTCTACCCTAAGGACATCGTTGATGATATCTTGTTGCTTCATTTCCACCTCCGACTGTTCCTGTTGACACTGCTGAAGCTTCGTCACGTAACTGAACAACATGCAATCCAGTTCGGACATTGCCCGACTATACTTATCAAATTCATCTACACATTCCCGCAACTGGTTCTCCCACCGTGTGAGCACATCCTCGAAGTAGTCCTTGGACTCCATCCTTTTTCCGCCAACAAAATTCGACCTCTTAATTCGGTGCAGGTCGTACTATCGTGCTTGAGCCCAAAACCACCAAAAGTGAAGTCCGAATCGAAAAAGCTGAGTGAACCACGAGGGGGTATCAAACTAGGTTCGTAATGGAGTAAATCGGGATCGAATCGATTTTCTCGATTTCGATGTGAACCTGGTGCTTCGCGAGAAGCGGCTTCCCAAAACAGATGAGTGAGTCGATTTTTTATCCAGATTGAAGCACATCGGTTTCACCATACTGAGTATCGTTTCCAAGTTGGAGCGGACTTCTCCAGCGAACAAATTTGTGTTTGCGCACACGTGTTCGGCAGCGTGAATGAACCCTTTTTGGAGCGAAATGCATTCTGAAATGGACATCCCGAGCATTAGGAAGTCTGCCATAATGTCGAGCCCCTTTCCGTCGGTAATTTCGTTTATTACGGGGACCAGTTTATCCAGAACTCTCCGAGCGCGCCGTCTTGTGACGCTAGTTTGAGATCCTGCCTTCCAGCAAGCTTCGAAGAGCGGCCCTTGGAAAAGGAACGTAATAAGGACCTGTGGGTCTCCGCAACTCTTCCAGGTTCTGTGCAGTTCGCGAACAAGTGCTTCCAGCACTTGCATCCTCGTTTTCCAAAGTGTCGCGTCCGTGTGCTCTCGGAGCACATAGACGACCTCCATAACTTGCATCAGGGGACTAGGTTCCTTCGATAAGGTCCAGGCTTCCAAGAGCCGAGTCAGAACGTGATGCCAGGCTCGGCAAGCCGCAACCGGTTTCGGTCGAATTTGGATCGCCGACTGTAATTGAGCGAGTGAGTGGTTGGTCAGCTGTAGCAGCGCCTGGGCGTTCAGCCGCTGGCTATTCTGTTCAATTAGGATGCTAACTAGCTCCACATATATAGAGTAAATCTCTTCGTCAACGGTGAGGGTGGCAATTGACTGAATTAGCAAACCCACCAGGTTCTCCATCGCAGACTGCGGGACGATTCCGCAAACGACCGCCAATAAATCGCGTCCAGCGGACACTAGAGTGCCGTTTACGTTCTTTATTCCCACCCTCATCACCTGCTGAGCCCAGTCAAATACGCTCTGCCATGTATTCCGGATCAGTACTAACTCGTCGCCGTCCCCCTTGGGACCTTCCCCCTGGGAACCATCCTGGCTCATCAGGGAAACCTGTTGGTCGATGCTTTTGTACATCATACGTAGGCAGTTGGATATCCCTACGGTTTCCAACGCGGTGAAGTTGGTGGTTAGAATTTCGCACACGAGTGCGGCACAGTCCTCCGGCTCTGAAACACGAACAAGGAAGGCGCCCAGTGACATCTTTACCTGGAACGCAATGTCGTTATAAAACTGCACAAGAACGGCCGTCTTTGCGCTCACATTGATTTCTTTCTTTTTCACTTCACACCACTTAATCACGGGCAGCAAGTTGACTTGGATGCTGCTCAGATCCAGACCGCCCTCGCAGCGACCTTCCATTAACGCCTCGATGACCCACAGTCCACTCTCAGTCACATAGTCCTGTGTGAGAATGTCACATGTTGTCACTGACCAGTTGACAGCCGGCAGTGAAAAGACGTACTCCGATCCCAGGAGGGAAAACAGATTCGACATACACTGCCGAGCACCAACACTGCTCCCCGTTCCACGATTCTCGCTGCCGTTCACCAGCGCCTGACGGCAGTCGAGCACGAATGCATTAAAATCCGCGTGCTTGATCAAGTTGTCACGCGCCTGCTTCAGAACGTTCTTTAGCGCAATACCCTTCCCATCCCCAGCGAGGCGGCACGCTTGGTTCCACAGCGACAGCCAGCAAGCGCCCAGAACCTTACCCTTGAGAGCAAGCGGGAATTTGGACGGCAGGACAACATCCAGAAGACCCAGAGTATCCAGCTCAAATGACACCGCCTTGAAAATAATAAACTGCATAAAGGCTTCTTCCAGCGCCCCGGCAGCCTCGGTCATGTTTATAAGCTCTGAGTGGACGACGTTCTTCATATTTTCGATCAGCATCTGACTCGCCACGAAGGTGAATTGGGGCATCTTGAGAACGCCGCAAAGCGACAGCGAATTTGCAATCACTTGCGGGACCCGGACGGTGACGGAGTCGCCGCTTTTTGCCACGACATTGCGGAGCCACTTGCCCATTATCTCTTCGTATGGCAGGTTGGGCATAGCCTGCTGGAATACGCTCTGGGCCCGGCTGAGCGACTTGCTCATGACTTGCTTCCACTCTCTCTCATCCTCGTCGTCAGCCTCCTCCCAGTCCTTATCCTTCGCGGTATTGGACGCCCCCAGTACAGTCAACAGCCGGTTGATGGCAAGCGAGCCCAAGGCGCTATGGTCCACGGTACGCTCAGCAGGGACTGGAGCCGCGGCGAGCACCCCGAACACGAGTGCCGTTAGCAATTTCACTTGACCCGTGGCAAACACGGTATCTGGACTGAACAACTTGGCGACGGGCATTTGTACCCACTTGGCCGTCCGCTGCCCGGCCGCCTCGGCCACCAACGGCAACATCTCCTCGGGCAGGCACTCCAGCACACGCCGCACTGACTGACTCAGGTGCGGGGGAATGTTCGGACTCGTGCCCGTCGCCAAGAGAAAACCGATGTCCAGATTTGCCACCACTGCTTTGCCACCCGCCGCCGCTTTGCCACCCGTTGAGATGGAAAGCAAATGGATCAAACTGGATGTCAGGAGCGTGACTACGCCGCCGATGATATCCACCGGTGCCGTGCGTCCGGTGTCAAACGCCGTCACCGCTTCCGGAAGCCGCAGTGCAGACTTGAGTGCCGGCCGCAATTCCGGTCGCTGGCCCTCGGCCTTGCGCCTGCCCGCCTCCGACAGTTCCTTGACCGCAAGCGCGACCCCCGCGCGCAGAAGCACAGAGAGTGCGGAGAGTGCGCGGCTCGCGGCCGTGTCGTCCTGGACTTGCGCCGAAGCACCTAGTACAACATACGCCAGCGCTAGCGGCACCGCATCCTTCGCCAATGTCGTGGATTCCGCCTGACTGTGCCGTGCGTCCAAAGCCGCCTTGAGTAAATCCATGAGCACAAAATACTCACCAGCCGCCGCAACGTCTGTGGACTCGCCAACGGACGCGTTCGACCAGTAGTCCCGCAACATCTGCTTTAGGTACACCACGACGTTGCCGTGACTCGCACACACTTGCTGCAACTCATCGTCAGATACCACCGTATCGCGGTAACCTAACTGACTTAAAGGAACCAACAACGAAGCGTCCCCGGCCGGAAACACCGCCGCTAGACTCTCCGGCAAATCCATGCGGTTAATTAAAAATTCACCGGGACCTTCCCACCACCGACACAACCCCACCCCGGGTGACACAATCTCGTCGTCTATCCGGCTCTCATGTCACGACCCGACTCTCGTGCACTCACCCGTTACGTAATCAGCGAAGCCGAGATGGCTGCCATGGAGGGGATATCACTCCCGCCTCGAATGAGTTCAACTTCTGCAGCGGGCGTCTATGTGTGTGCGCGCGTGTGTGCGTGTACGCTGCCTGTCGGTGTTGCCTGTCGGTGTTGCTTGTGGGTGTTGTTTGTTACTTTCCAGTGCCATGGTTGAGTTAATGTGACCAAGAGTGAGCATGGGCTCGTGTCTGGTTCGGAGTTGGTTCATTAGTTCGTGGCGGAAACATGCGAGAGTGCACACCCGTCCGCCGAGGGTGACGGAGCAGGAGGTGCCTTCACTTTCCTTTTGGTAGCGAATGATGCACTGGAGGATGCAGCCCATGATGCGGCCGGCTCTGCGAACAAGGGCCTGTGCAATCAGTTTCGTTATCCGTGCCACATTCAAGCGGTTGAGATACTCTTTCTCGTTACTGCTCTGCAACTGCCAGTCCCATTTGGCGCCCAAAATGCGGAGTACGGCGCTGGGTGAGTCGCTGCTGTTGACAATGGCCAGCACGTCTTCTGCTGAAAGCGTATTCCGCGTCCAAAGCAACTTGCCCGCCGTTTCCTCCTGGTCCAGAGACAACAAGTAGAGGACAGACAGTCGAACCAGCTCTGCCATGCAGTCGATGCTAACTAGCCTCTCTAGCGTATGCAGCGCCGAATCCGGCTCTAGCGCGGCCAGTTGGCGGTCTATAAATGTAAGCGGGATGCCTTTTGCAAAATTCTGACATTCCGCCAAAATTACGTTTCCGTCAAAATTCTTGTGACGAACCCCGCAAGCAATGCCTACACCGCGGTCCACCACGCAGTGTACCCTAGGGACACTCGGTGGGTAGTCCAAGACCATGGATAAGTAGGACGCCGCCATCTCGCACACGTGTGCGGCGACAAAAACTTGTTCGCCGAGTTTTTTATTTCGAAACGTTTTCTCCATAACTGAGCATAGATTAGCATCACTAGCGAACTGGCCGTCCAAGAGGTATGCCTGCCTGAGTCCTTGTTGATATACAATCGATGCAACTGCACATATAACCAAAGGGGTTCTTTCCGGGAGCGGTATTGGCAAATTCTGGATCATTTTCACGCAGCACTTGCATACGGTATCGAGGTCATCGTATGGCTCTAACTCACATTCTTGACGGTCCAAAATAGTAATAGCATTCTTGGGAGCACGGTCCACCAAACATAGTTGAAGGGAAGCTTCGTTGATAACAAATCCTAAACCCTTGGACGAAGGTGGCAACGAGGATGGGGACCTGAGAAAAGTATCAATCGCCTTAACACCTCCGTTTTCTACTGTCCATGTTCCGCTATTGCCAGCCTGATGATTGCTTAATGAATTTATAAAGCTCTTGTGATAATTATCTTTTAACTCATAACACACATTATCATCAAGTGTAAATAACTCAAGCAATGTATTTTCCATCCAAAAACTCTGACCGTGGACTGATGTCCATGGATGAGGAGAAGTCCACGGTCAAAGGCGGGAGAAATGGGTACCAAGGACACACTACGAGGAAACACTAGTGGAGCTACCCAACCGTCTAGAGACTTGTATTATTCTGTAACGAGATATCCGCTCTTACTAAACAAAGCTTTGACTGTCTCGTTTGACCAAATTTGATGAGAACACCGTTTTCATCTCTTTCATCTTGAGGAAGAGGCACACAAAAGCCAATGGTATCAATATTGAGGGATTCGTTTAGATGCGCTCCGTCTAACGATGCGAATGGCTTGTATATAACACACGTGCGTCGTCTCCCACTTGTATCCGCGCAGATGACAGACGAAGAATCATTGCCTTCCCTCTTGATACCTACACTCTGTGGGTCAACAGTCCCGGTCCCGGGGTCAACAGTCCCGGTCCCGGGGTCAACAGTCCCGGTCCCGGGGTCAACAGTCCCGGTCCCGGGGTCAACAGTCCCGATCCCGGGGTCAACAGTCCCGATCCCGGGGTCAACAGTCCCGATCCCGGGGTCAACAGTCCCGGACTCCTTGACTAAAATGAGTCCGTGGGAAGGGACATGAAGTAGGTGCAATTTCACAAGCCCGTCCAAAAGCTCGATATCCCCTCCCGGAGAAGCAATTCGCCTGTCTACGTGGAATTTCGGCTCCAGAACTATCAGCCCTCCCCTTCCACCATCTCTTCCTCCTTCCCTTCTTTCTGGCGCTTGATCGAGGCCGGGTAGTGCCCAATTGCAGTATTTGAGTTTCTTCTTCTCCCAGTGACATAAGAGAGATAACAGAGGGAATGAAGAGTTGCCGTTTCCTTGATGACGGGTTCCACTCCCATGACTAAAGTGAGCCCCGACTAATGGTATGAGGTGCTTGTATCTTCTCGGTCCGTCCCCGGGCCTGTCCATCTTGGGTTCCATCGTCGGTTCTGCCGAAAAAACGTTCAGCAGCAGATCGACCGCCCAAGTCCGGTACAACGGCAGACCTAGGCCACATCCCAACCGGACCATCGTCTCCCTTTGCCCAACGGCCTGACCCTGCACACTATCCTTCACGTTGCTTCCACCCACCATTCCATCCTGCGAGTCAGCCAGCGGTCTTTCTGCAATGGTTCTGAACTTAAACATACTCACGGAGGGCTTGACCGCGTCTTCTACTCCGACCTCAGCCCCTGGCAGCAGCCTTCGTAACTCAGGGGCTTCTTCCCGCACTACGCGGAAGCCATTGTCCAGATCCACTTCGTCAGAAATCACGCACTGACCGCATGGCCGTTCGGGGACTGCGCCAGTACCCCAATACAACGACATCACGGGCATCAGTGTGTTCAGGACTTGGACGTATGAAGCGGCGTCCGAGGTACCACTGGTCAGGGACAGGATAACACTGGTCGAGATGCCGTTGTTGGAAGCACCGTTGTTGGAAGCACCGTTGTTGGAAGCACCGTTGTTGGAAGCACCGTTGTTGGAAGCACCGTTGTTGGAAGCACCGTAGTTCGAGGTAGTGCTACCGGGCATACTCACGGTACTACTTACATTATCTCGTTCGTCCGTCAGTATCTGTTGATTAAGCTGATCCACGAAGATACCGTCTTCTTCTTTGAGGGTTATAGGATCGGCCGCGGGATGAATGAACCGGAGTTTTTTGCCGCGTTCCATGTTGTCCATTTCGTTCTCAACAATGGACAAGGACCTTTTGTTCTGATGAGCAGGCTCCGACACGGACTCCGATGCCATTTCCGACGCGGACGAGTCTTCTAGTTTAACAGGATGACCCTTGGTTCCCGGTTGTTGAGAGCGAAGCGAACCTGACACGATCTGGTTACAGATCTGTCTTGCTATAGATGGATCTGGCAACTTGAGCAGAGGCCGGCTCGGCCACTTGAACTGTGAGTAGTACTCGTGGACCACGGTAGTAAGATCCGTGCATGTATATTGGATGTTGAGTTTTAAACCGAGTTTCTCAGGCCCTGCGTGCAGGAACTTACAGAACGGAAGAGTATTAAGCTTGCAATCAAGCTGTTTAAGACACAGTCGCAGATCATTTATGTAGCTTAGTGTTACGTGCTCTTTGGCCAAGTTGGGGAAATCCGTGAAGTAGCCAAACAGAGTCTTGGCGATCTGGTATAGCCAATCTAGCTCAAGAGGCCAACTTGGTAATAAAAAATGCTTGAAGTGATCACTACAGACTATACGACATAACTCATAATTATTGACTAATGACATCAATACAGCCCTTAAAGAATTACCTTGCTCATATGATTCATTCAACATAGGATATTCTCTTAATAACAATCGAGTAATAAGTATATCATCACCACCCGTATCATCACCGCCCGTATCATCACCGCCCGTATCATCACCGCCCGTATCAACCTTTGGTCGTTGATAGCTGGTCTCCTTGATGGCTTGATTAAACCCATCAGTTACACTAATTATAACCATTCTTAGTATAGATGACAACCTACTATCCCAAGTAACCAAGTCCAGAATACTTTTAAGCATACCATGATGAGAGTACTCTTCAAATTTGGTCAAATCGGGCAACAGCATTTTCCCCAACACATTTTGTATACCACTAATAGCACTTGAATCATATTGTTTGGTGAGATCCAATTTCTTTTGATGCAATCTTTTGTTTGATTCAATGATTGTCATACATACTGTATCATGTTGATCTTTAGAATAAGGTCCTAATCTATACCTTGTACCGCAACGATCGCATATAGTAACCTGTGATCTGATTAATGGTTCCTTATAGAATTTACAGTTTGAATAATGTGTTTCCGGATTGTCACTTAGAATATGTTTGCTGCCATATCCAAGGTCCTGTGCAAGTTCACTATACAAGCAATACTTAACCGTCTTGGTAGTAACACTATTTCCAGCTGTCTCTACCATTGTTTTTATTAGTGATTGTTCCTGTATAGTCTGTAGTGTTTCTGCAGTCCTGTTACAAGTACGTTCGACGTCGATAATCTTTCGTTCTAATTGTAGGTTTTTCTGTTGGATGCAGAGCTTGGCTAATTCCATGCGTTTCAGATCGGTTTCTAGTTCCTCTAATTCATTTAATTTTTTGCAAAGTTTGGCCTCCGTTGTCTTGAGCATCTCGGAGTATTTATCATATTCTTCCCCCTTACTACGTGCCTCACGGACCAAGGACTCCAGATGGATCTTAACACGTTCATCCTCTTGTCGTTGCTTCCGCAAACTAAATAGCTGCTCCTCCAGTTCCTGATAGCGAGCATTCGCTTGACTCTGCTGCGCTCGCACATATGTATTCTCCGACTTACACCAAGCCATCAGTTGCTGCCGGTGCCAATAATGATACCCGTACTCAATCAAAATCTCCTCCCCGACCCCGATTGTACGCTTCGCCTTGTACGCTATACACGGGATATTAAACAACGACCAAATCAACGTCTCTGCGTTCCCATCCAACTCCTGCTGCTTGCTGAAGCCCAATACCTCACCAAAACCCTTCGGGTCGTTAACCATCGCCAGCTCGTTTCGGAATTGCGCTGCTTCCACGTCCCAGTTGACCATGTCGTCAGACACCCGCTCGATCTCCGTCTTACGATGACGGGTGTTTATGCCATCGATCTCCACCGGAGCCCCACGATTTCGGCGACCCGCACGGCTCTGGGGTCGAGAACCAATGGTCTCAGACCCAACCGTTTCAGACCCAATCGTCTCAGTCTCAGAGACAACACGGTCCACCGGTCCTTCCGTATCGCCAACAAGAGACAGCTTGATCGCGTCGAAGTGCAACCGGGCCCGTCCCTCGTCTTCTCCTTCCTCTGCCGTGTCACCCGACCCGAAGAGTCCCACCCCAAAGCTGTACGCCCACCGGTTCGCCATGGTGCCGTCGGAATTAAGTTCCAGGGCGTCCGTCTCATTCGTCTGGCGAAACACTCCGGCGTACACCGGTGGACCGACTAAGGCCCCTTTCGGGATTCGTTGCGTTGCCACCGCTCGGTACTGGGTAACACTTGGCGAATACGCCGGATGCCGCGGATCTGTAATAGGCTCCACTTTTATGTTATTTACCCAAGAAGGATCCTACCGAAAACCTGGTTACTACACACCGCTACATAAGTGGGGTAGCTTCAAGTGCGACAGTGGGGAGACTTACACCTGTAAGAAACGGTTTGACTTTCTTAGCCATATCTTTATTCTCCTTGAGTTCCCTAAGCTTGTTAGCCATGCCAACTACTTGTGGAATGAGTTCCTGCGGTATTGGCAATTTTATCGACCGATAACGTTTGATCCCGTCTGGCTCATCGACTTGGACAGTGTCATAGAGACAGGGATGGTGAGGACCGAAGCTTAGAGGCGGCCACTTGCAAGGGTCCTGTAGGTGGGCGTATTCGTTATGACGGTTGTACAGAGCCTGCGCACGTTTTCTCCACACATCGACGGGACAGTGGCGCAACTTGGCGTTAAAGGACTTAAACAAATTCTCAATCAACGCACCATTCTGAGCTGAATACATCACCAGTGGCAAGTGGCACTGGCTCTTCCCTACCCAGTCACGACAAGACTGTCCTTTACAGTGCGCCGACAGACATAAACTCTCACCATTCGTTACCTTGTACACGTTTGAAACGCTACGATACAAGGAAGTCCGCTCAGCTAACCTCGGACCCGGTCCTAGTCCAGAACTCACCGGGACCGCAAGAGTTGACCGCTTTCCTCTCTTCTTGGGGATGACAATCTCGGGCACTGCCACCGCCCCTACACCCACTTTTTTCTGGGCTTCCGCCCCACTCCTCATGAATTAACCCCGGGAAAACATGGAACAAGAAGACGGTGGCAGGTGACAAATCGAACCCTGTTTGGGCCCAAACCAGCACCTGGCCTCAATTGGTTCTACGATGTTCGGTTTTTACGGGAATCGGTTTCTGCGGTACTCGGTGATGTGTGGCTGACAGCATGACCACAGCCATGGCCAGAACACCGTCTCGTCTGAGTTGGTTCGAAACGACCAGTTCAGCAATTCGGCTAGCCTCAGCCGAAAAATATATCTGTGTTTGCGCGTCAGCACACGTGTGTGCAAGCGCGTGCGCCCAGCCAGTTAACAGCTGGCTCTTACGGCGGAGCGAGGTCCGGGATCATGGGAAGTATCTTGGCGTTGGGTGCGCCACAGACTGGGCAGTTTTGCTGCGTCGATCGTTGCTGGCCGATTTCCCTTTGTGCCTTCTCGGCGAAGATGCAGCCACACGTCCAGTTGAAGAGGAACCGTTTGGAACCATTGCATGGCACTCCGGTGAGTTGGCACTGTAGAGTACCGTTGGCGAACGGTGCGAAAAGGGCCTCGCTGCCGTCATTTATGGTTACGACGTCTTTCAGGCTCTTGATGCCGAGGCTTTTCAAAACGTCGCTTTTGGCCAACATGCGCTCCAGCAACTCCTCCTTGTTGTATGGATAGCCGCTGCGGTCCAGCACGATGGGCACATGCAACGGCAGCTGTGACACACGACAACGCGTAAGCGCCAAACCGCGCGCCTCCTGCGGTGATAGGGCACCCCTTTCCTTCAGCACCATCGTATTCGGATCATATCCCATGCCGCCCAGATTGCGCTTGAACTCATACCCTTTCACTCGCACTATATCTGCACGACCGGGAATCGAACCACCGTCACCACCCATATTTTTATAGCCCCCGGGCCACCCCTCCCCGGGCCAAGAAAAGGTGGTCCGGAGGCTAGTGGTGTATTTAACCCTTAAAAATCGCCTTACAAAGCCAGTGCCTTGCTGCTAGGGCTAACATATCGGTACGTCACGAACGGTAAATAGCTCAGCAGGCAGGTCGCGGCTCTGCGTCTGTAGACACCGCTCAAGACAAACCGACAAGTACCAAGAACGCGGTCGCGAAGGAGGCTGCGCCAAAGAGGCCCTTGACGCCCTGCGTGCGCGGCAGGACCGGTTCATAAACAGTGCTAAGCGCCACGGCTTGGTAGTCGTCTACGAGAGTGCAGCCCTCCACCCAAAGCTGGAAGTACTGTGCATCTGAGACGGTCCACGTGTCACCGGTTTCCGGTTTGACAGTTAGCATTTTGCTATCGTCGTCAAAAGTGTAGTTCATACTAGTATAGCCATTAATGGTCTTTAAAGTGGGACATTGAGCATCCGTAGCATTCTTTTCGGTGGCCTTGGTGGTAGTGCGATCGGAATCAAAGCTGTCGGGAGCAGAGGTGTCGGAGGTGACGTTGCCTGTAGTGACCAGCAGGCCCGTACACAGTTGGTCAACTTGCACCTGCATTGCCGAAAACTCCATGTGTGCCATCGGGTCGATGGCCACGGTTACGGACTTCATAACCTTCGGTGAGATGCTGTCCACCAAACTGCTCGTGACAGGACCCTCGCGGAGGCAAACATCTGCCGCGGCACTATACGTAATTGTGTCCAACAGGAGCGGATCTGTGCACGACCCGTCTGCTACCTTTTGGTCCAGGCAGTTGACCAAGATCTTGAGGTCGCTAGAGACTTGGCATCCACAGACATCCGTAGCTTGAGGATTATGCACAACATTGGCCAGTCCACCAACAGCTAACAACGTCCTCTTTACAAACATTCTTGGTCTTGGTATGCAAGTCTTGATTAGAGAAGAAAACGCCACGTAAGGGGGGGTATATTAGGGATATATATTGAATGCGCTTTCGGTAAAAAAATCACTGTGCTGGCAAAGGACCGACTTCCGTGGGGACGTCTCGGTGTAGCTGAACCAGCTGCCGTAATGTGAGACATTTCGAAGGCATTTCAGGGAGGCGTTGGACGTCCTGGAACAGTTGTTGTAGGCCTTGCTCGAGGGTCCGCTCCCTGTTATTAAGTGCTAGGGCCTTGGACAAGCTGAATTTGAATTTGAGTGTCTGTTTTTGCTGCCAGTTGGGCAGCGTTGCTATTCGGCGCAGTTTGTTGAGTGAATCTTGCATGGCCCCGGGCGTATGACGAATTTCAACCAACAGAATGTAGACCACATGCATGGCAAACTCAATAGTGAGTGCAGCCGCTTCCTGAATGTGGTCCGAGTTTATTCCGTCCATCTTGTCTTCAGCTGACCCAGCAGCCAGCTGCTCATCCGTCGCCTTGACAGCCTTCTCCGCCGTCATGTCGTTCGACTCCGCGGACGTTTCAGCAGCTGACATTGACTGTAGCGACTGCAGCCCCTCATACGCTTGAGAGAGCAAGGTGGAAACAAAATCTACGTCTATGATCTGGGTCTCAATCATGTCATACTTCGCCGCACAATCGAACACAATTAAACTCCTTGCAGCAATCTCCACCGACAATGTCAGATAACTAATCGTCGCGCGTTCTCGCTGCGACGTCGGCACTCCAGGAGTCAAGTAACTTGCGCTTATCAACCAAATCGTCACTACCTCTCGTAGATTATGGACCAACTGCAGTTGGTCAAACCGCGATAGCATCCCCACAAACGCCTCTAGATATACGTACGATATCTCCACTACGTCGTCGCCTTCCGTCGCAAAAGATAAACCGCGGTGCGCCGCATCATATATAGACCGTAATAACCGACGTGCGGTGCAGAGAGCGACCGTTTCCTACAAAATACGCGCAGCAATTTTGTTAGCGCACGTGTGTGCGCAGACTCAAATACCCAACCCGAAGCTTCGCAAGTGGGCAGTGTTGCTTACTCGTGACTCGCAATTTTGCACTATATTAACCACGTTTTCAATCTCCTTGAAAATGTCATTGTCGGGTTCAAGGGTAGCGAGTAACTTGATTGTTGCGGGACTCTCCGGGGGCACAGAAATCTTCATGTCCTCGGCGGGTCGCGCCATCAAGGCTTTGACAGCTTCCTTGAGTTTGCCGACAGAGACGCCGATTGTGCTCAGAGTCTCGGGAACGACGCCGCCCGTGGGTGCGGCAGCGGCAGCGTCTCCCGTAGCGGAGTTACTTTCCCGCACTCGCTTCAGAGGTCCGATGTGAGCAAAGGCTTTGTATACCTCGAGTTGTTCGGTGTCCAGAGCGGGGGTAAGCCTGAGCGGCACAGGGAGCGCGGCGGGCCACTCGCAGTTTGCGCCGAAGAACTTGGGGTCGACGAAGGGCTCGCCCTTCTCGGCCGCGGCCCGCCGGTCGGCCAGTGACTGGCTGAGGGCTTCTTGGACCGCGCGGACAGCCTGTTCAATGACAACCTGCTCGATGAGGGTACTGGCAATGTGCGCGTTTTCATGCGCGATGACCAGAGCGGCCTGTTCGACGGAAGAGTCGAAGTCCGTGCGCCCGTCGTGGTTGACGGAATTGACAGACTGCACCAAAGAACGGAACTGCGTGGCGATGGAGTTGCGAAGACTCGGTCGGCCCGTGACTACGACGATGGACCCTGCCAGCGCGGCTGCCATCAAATGCGCGGCTCTCTTGACCAACGTCTCCTCCGACTCCAAGGCAAAATCCTTCAGTACAAGCTCCACCGTGGTCCCCACCGCCAGCACAACCGCGCGTTCCGACATGACCGTCACCAACTCCTTCACCGCGCGCTCCATCGCAATTGGCACCGCTATCCGCAACTCCGGACATTTCTGGAACAACGCCAGCCCGGCCGGGATCTTGGCTGTTTTAGCTAACGCGCTTAACAACTGCGTCCGCGGCCCCGAGGGCGTGACGTTGCTCGGCCGTGCCGCACCCGCCAGCGACCCGCTGCCGCCCAAGGCAGCGCCCAGTGCGGCGGCGCCAGGACCCACGGGCGGGCCGGCGGCGGCGGCAAAAGGCGCGGCGGCCTCTGGAGAGCTGACGCCGAGCGGAGGACTCAGAGTCTCGAACATGTTCGGTTGTTCTTGGGCAGCAGCGACATAGATGTCCAAATTCAGGCCGAGGTTGCGCATCAGCAATTCGATTTCGAATTGATGATTTTGAGCGCAGCCGGGTAGGATGTAGAGTTGGGCAAGTGTGGTCAGACAGCCGACGGTCCAGGCGTTGGGGGGGTTGAAGAGCTTGGAGTTGCGGATGTTGCTGAGACAGGAACACACGAGTGGAAGGACGGCGTTGAGGGTGCCTGCTTCATAGCCGGCGAAGAGGAGATGTTTGACGTCGAAGCTTTTGGCCTTGAGTGGTTTGTTTCGCGCGAGAGTGAGCATGCCAAGCCAGGCGCCGAGAGCCTTGAGTACAGTCTTGTAGCTGGAGGCGTCTTTGGCGGAGACGGAGTATCGCATGAGGACGTTGATGGAGTCGTAAGTGACGTTTGTGATCATTTCCACGAGTTTGTTTCCGCCGAGGGTTTGTGCGAATTCAGCGTAGAGTGCGAGATGGTTTACTTCCTTGGTGGTGCGTGACTTGACGATGTAGAAGGCGACCCATGGCAGCCACTCTGCCTGGAGCCAGTCTGCGAGTTCACGTGCCTTGAATTCGACGTTGCTCTTGACGATGGAATTGCAGGTTTGCGCAACCTTGAGGCGCACGTGTTCAGGTGGCGTGGCGATCCATGAAGTGATTTGCGGGTCTTCCAACAACGCCTCAACCTGTCCGAGTCCGAAACCCTGGAGGACGACTTCCTGTTGAGAGTCGGGGACAGCGACATTGCCAAATTCCACGACATACGGCGGCCCGCCGCCGCCGCTGGGTGGGAAGCGGTCGGATGGTGGGAAGCGGTCAGGTCTGTTTTCGGCGGCCTGTTGTGGTATCAGGAAGAGTGCGGGTGGTATGATGAGTACGTTGCTCGGCGAGGGTAGTTGTGCGGGAGCGATCGCTTGCACCAGTTGGGAGGCGTCGACGAAGGACATTGCTTGCATGGCAGCCGGCATGGCGTGGAGACATGTCTCTGCGTACCAAATGAGGCTGGGAAAGAGGTCAGCGACATGGTGCATCTTGACGAGTGCAGAGAGGAAGGCAGGCGAGCAAGGTGCGATGGGAAGGAAGCCTTGGAGGACTACGAGACCGAATTTGAATATGAGAGTATTCGGATCTTTGCGCAATGCTTCCATGGCACAGCGGATGGCGAGTAGATGTAGCTCGGGTCGTTTGAGCAGGAGCTCGCTTCGAATGAGTTTGCCGAAGAAGTCCGCTGTCCGGTACAGCTCCGGGGCCGGGTACTTGGGAAAGTGGCGGCATTCTATAAAAAGGGTCCGGAGCATCTTGGCGAGGAGGTCGGCCTCAGCACTGCCGGACGGAAACTGGGCCAGCTTGTACATGAAGTCGACGAGTTGCGATGACGAGATCTCTCCCCTGTAGAAGGCGGCGAAAACTTGGTCCTCGCTATCGCCGGTGGCGGCCGGAGCGGTAGCCGGAGCAGGCGCGGCCGGCTGGAAGGACTTGCGGTGCATGCCCGACAATTCAGCTTCTTCCGGAAAGGAGTCGCAGAGTAGGAGACGGAGACGTTCGAAGTGGGTGAGGATCCGCAGGTCTTCGAAGGGGTTGCCTGCGCGACCCTTCATGGCTTCGGCGTAGTTGACGAGAGCGTCACAGTATATGCACGCAGAGGCGCCATCGAGCGTGACAGCGTCGTCTTTTGGATTGACGGCACTGACGTTGTTGGAGCCTAATTGTCGCACAGCAAGGAGCTTCTCGTTCAGGAAGACTCCGAGTTTAACGGCGAAGAGTTTGGAGTCTCGATTGAGCGGTTCGAATCGTGCCTTCAGGAAGTCTTGTTGAGACAGTCGATGTACATCGAGCAGCTCGGTACGGTGGTTGGCGAAGAGTAGTTGGGCGAGGTCCAGTAGCGTGGCGGAGACGGGTGCGGTTTCGTAGAGCGTCTGGGGCACGAGGGAGGAGACGTAGTTGATGTCGTGATTGACGAGGAACCGCGCGTAGGATGCGAGCGCGGCGCCGGAGTTGGGGAGCATCGAAAGAGGTGGTGCGGCGAACCGCGACGGGGGGAGGCGGTGCACGGACTCGAGCGGTGCCGCGTCAAGTGGTCGGGGAGCACTGGCCAGCTCCTTGGCCCGGCGGTTTGCGTAGCCGGCTTGTTGCCAGGCGAAGAGAAGGTTCAGCCAGAGCACTTGTTCGTTTGTGGACCGGAAGATCGCCGGGTCGCAAGTACCCCATTGACGCCCCAAATTGTAGAATACGTCCGTCCAACTCAACATCGGCTCCAGATTGCTCACACCCTCCACAAAGTACTCGATCCGACAGTCCGACGCACCCGCCAACAGCAATTGAGCCACCTGCGCTAATGCGGCCGCCACCGTCTCTTCGTTAATCACTAACTCCTCATCCGCCGTCCTCAATATCGTCTCAAAACCCAACACCGTAGCAAACGCACCCACGCCCAACTCGCTCACGATGTCAACCAACGTCATTATTTTTTACTCTCACCCCCGCCAAAAATCACCCGATTGCCGCACCCAACCACACCACCAGACGCAGCCAGCCTGGCACCCGACAAGCAAATCACACGCAAGCACTCCTCTGGACCAACCTGGTATCCACATAAGCCACCCGGCCTACGTATTCGGCCAAAGTAAGCACTGGGCCAAAGTAAACACTGGGCCAAAGTAAGCATTGGGCCTAAGCAACTGCTCGGGGTAAGGCACACGGCCTGAGTTACTCAACTAAGGAGACGCCAAAGTAAGCACTGGGCGCAAAATCCGACTCAGGTTCGACGCGACAGGACTTTCACGATCTTGCCGTGCCGTCGAAATAAGATACCTCCGGCTGAAGTTACCGCCGAGGTAGCCCCCGAAACAACACTCATGCGTATCCGCAGACACACAACAATACCATATAATACACTCTCCTTGGACACCGCTGCTGGGGGTGTGGTCCGGGTCTGTTGCTGGGGGTGTGGTCCGGGTCTGCTGCTGGGCCTGCGGGCTGGATGGATACAGTCTTCTTAGTGCCGTGTTCTTGAGAATATGGGAGGTCATGTTCCTGCGGCGGAAACAGCGTATAGTGATACATCTACTTGCTGCTGAGTACCGAGCTCACTTCTACGAGCGGAGTCCGGCTCCGAGATGTCCCCAGTCCAGTCCACGTCCCCAGTCCAGTCCAGTCCACGTCCCCAGTTCGGTCCACGTCCCCAGTCCAGTCCACGTCCTTGTTCTAGACTGACGGGTGTCTGACCCCGAACAGGGTGGTGGAGCCACCTAGCAACAGCACGCCTGAACAAGCAGCCACAGGAGGCTCGTTTAAAAATGGGCCGGATAGATTTACGGGAGGAGCCTGAGTTTTTGGAGTAGCACACAAAGAGGCGCGGACCTCCAAGTGTGACGATGGCGGACTCCGACAAAGCGGCCACGACGATGGCGGCTTTGTCGGAGCGGAGGGGTCGTTGGGAGGGCCGGAGGCCTGGGCAGGGTTGTTGCTGGGTGTCGAGTGTGTCCGAAAAGCGCGTAGCGGTGCGCTGCGCAGCCTCAAGCGCGACCGCCTGGGCGCTTGCTGTGCTTGGGGGTTGTGCTTAGGGGGTTGTGCGGTGGGGTTGGCCGTGCGGTGGGGTGAAGAGTGGGTTGAGAGCGGGGTTGGAGGCAAAACGGGTTGTGGTGGGTGGGTATTATCGGTAGTCGTCTGAAACGGTCTTTATTTTTGGGGGCAAAAAAAATTTGCGTTGAAAATGAAGTCCACTGTTGCCACTTCTCAAAGCAGTTCCACAGTGCTTTTGGCAGCTGGCCAAGCCACGACTGGCCTGGCCGGTCCGGCTACGGCTGGTCTGACGCCGGTTGCGTCGAAGGCGGCGACGAAGAAGGCGACTCCCGTGACGCCAGGCTCGACAGTGCCGGTGGCTGCCAATGTGTTTAACACTAGCAGCAACCAGGGCTTCGCTAACTCGGCCAGCACCCTTGCTGACGTGGCTGGGGTCTTCAAGAAGATGTTTGGTGGTTCCTACCAGCGTATCGTGACCAAGGATAACGAGCAGTTCATGCTCATCAACGGCAAGGAGCGGTGCACAGTTCCGGAGTTCCTCTTCACCTACTTCTACCACGGCTTCATGGAGCAGACCAGCAGAACCCACCGATTGGCTGAGTCTGACGTGAATGTGATGGACTTGATGATTAACGGCCCCGCGTCTTCCTTCCTGAGCCTGGCGCTCAAGTGCCACAACTCCAAGGAAGTCGGCAACGCCTTCAAGAGGATGCTCAGCAATGTTAGCGCCAAGTTCCCCAACCTCAGATACGACGAGGTGTCGGACTCTTTCAAGTACACCGCCACTCATGTGGACACCACCAGCCAACAGAGGAAGAACGTTGAGGCTGTCGTTGAGTCTGCATACGTAAACAAGTTCCTGATGTACCTGCGGGACTTCAACGACACTGACACGCTCCCCTTCCTCATCGACGGCGAGAAAGGCAATGCTTCGGCCCTGCCCGGCATCTTTGACTCCGTTGAGCCCATCAAGGAGCTGTGCGACAAGGTTAACTTCGACGACGCCTACGACATCATCCGTGCTGTGCTTCCTGAGCAGCAGTTCAACACCATGCTCGATCGTGCGGACCGCCTCATGGGCACCCGGAAGCAGGTAGACTTGCGCCAGGAGCTCACCCAGACCTACGACTGCGTCAACAACTACCGCACCGTTATGCAGAGAATCGGTGGCGCACCCATCGAGCTCAGCGAGAAGAGACTTGCAGTCAGACGCACTGACATGCCCCTCATGTCCCAGTTCGTTTCCGTCGCAACTCGCGATGAAAGCAAGATCCTCATGGACCAGACCTACCGTCTCTACTTCGCCAAGGCCCGCGCTGCCGCTTCTAAGATCATCCAGGAGGGTCGCCGTGTGCAACGACAGGCTGGCAAGCTCGTCAGCGTCAAGGAATTCGTCGAGGGGCTCCCTTCTGCCATGTCTGGCGCTGCCAAGGCCACCAACGCTGTCGAAAAGGATGTGGAGACCGCCGTTGCTGACTTCCTCAAGAACCCAGCCATCGCCAGAATCGCCGAGATTTGCGCCTAGATAGTTAGTTTTTAGTCACCACAACTCCTACCACCACATTAACAATGAACATAAATCTTCGTGCGCTCGGTGATGCCTACACTTCAGCCGCAAGGTTTCTGCTCGTTACACCCTTGGTAACTATTTGCCCGTAACTCACGTCCGAGACAAAAGTATGACAGGTGGCCGCTCGCTGGGTAACAAACAGTAAAGGGAGCAGAATAGGGAGGCCAGGGATAAGACAGGGAGCAGGCACAAGGAGGGAGTAGGTGTGTAAAGCAACACAAATGTGTAAAGCAACACAGGTGTGTAAAGCAACAGAGGAAAAACACAAGGGAATAATAGAGAAAACACCGGAGAGCAAAGGCGCCAGAGAACAAAGGCGCCAGAGAGCAAGCAGCAGGGAGTGAAGGTGAAGAGGGGGAAGGCAACAGGGGGGGAGGTAGGACGGGCTGCCACAGTGTGTGTGCCGGGTATTTTTGAGTGAATTTCGACAAAGGGATCAAGACAATTTTTTGAGTAGAATGGTAGGTGTGTTTAAAGTCCTACCGGTCGTGGCATCTGGTTACTGGATCAGGCCCAACTATGCTAAGATGGACCCGAATGCGACCTACCATGGTCAGGAGGGTGTGTTCATCCCACACATTGAGGGTAAGCCGCGGTATGACGCGGCTGCTATGGTGCCGCAGATGACGACCACACAATTGGCCACCGCGACGCCGACGACCACGACTAAACTGGCGACCCTGGTGTCCTCGGTGGCCGCCACGACCACGCACTTCGAGACAGTGCCTACGACCACCACGGCTCTGGCCACCACGCAGCAAAAGACGACCAAGACCAGAGCAGCCACCACCACCACGCAACTATACACCGAATTGCAGACTGACCGCACCAAGCCAGCGAAACATACCACGGGGGCGACGACGACGACAACGGGTTTGGCCACGCAAACGGATAAGGGCGCGAAAACGGAGAAGAGCGCAAAAGTGGACAAGAAAGCGCAAAAGGTGGAGAAGAACACAACTACCGGTCTACAGACCAGCGCCAGCACGGGGGCGGCCAAGGGACTGTTCGGCCGAACCAAGACCAACGGCCAGACCACAACGGACTTGGCCACGGTCGCGGCTCGTTCGACCGCGACCCCGACGACTACAGGCCTGGCGACTACGGGCCAGGCATCCAAGGGCCAAGCGGGCAAGGGCTTGGTGGGTATGCGGGACGTGGCGAGTGACACGACTACAGGACTGGCGACGACCAAGACTGCAACGACCACCAAAACTGCGGCGACGACCACGACAACAAGACTGGTGACCGCCAAACACGAGCAGCCGAAGAAGGGGTTGTTGAGTAGGCTGACAGGGGGCGGCGGCAGCAGCCACACGGGGTTGTTCTTTTCGAACATACCGCGGCAGGCGGAGAACCTGCCGTCGCTGCACAAGAAGGGTGGAAACGACATTACGGTGTACCGTGATGAGCCACTGATGATCGGAGTCTGGTCGGAGGACAAGGACAAGTACCTCGAGCTCGACGGCCCGACGGTGGACGTGTTGAAGGCGAATACAGGTGTTGCACGCGAGTCGTTCGTCGAGCTTATCCCGCGAGGGGCCGTGGGCGACGTGAAGCACTACAACGTGTCGCTTTCGAACTACGACCGGACAGAGCAGCACGCGTTTCCGCTGACGCTGCATCTGGCTGAGTCGCGTTCGGCGAAGCTGGGCAGTCTTACTGTTAAGCCGGGACGACTGGATCCGTCGTTTAATCCGAACTTGTTCGACTACAAGATCCGAGTGCCGGAGAAGGCCCACTCGGTGCACCTGGACTTCAAGACCTGGAACGACCGCGACGCGAAATGTACACTCGACGGCAGCAAGTGGTTCACGGCCAAAGGCTCGGTCTCGGTCTCGGTCCCGAGTGATGCCCCGAACGCGGCACCACTCACGTTATCATGTCTATCGGCGGATGGCAGCGTATCGCAAGACTACAACTTGAGCATGGTGCCGCAGCGGGGTGGGGAAACGTTGTTGAGCGATTTGGAGGTGTATGGAGCTGACCTGGCGGAGCCGTTTGACCCCAACAATCACGGCCCATATCGCGCGGACTTGGTGAAGGGCGCAGCCAAAGACCAGGGCATCGAGTTGGGCTGGGCGCGGCTGAAGCTGGGCAAGGTCAACCCGAACGCCGTGGTGACGGTTAATGGCAAGCCGGTGGAGGGCGACATGAGCGGCTGGATCCGGATCCCGCGCGGAGACAAGAAGAGCGTGGACGTGTCGGTGAGTACGCCGGAGAACCCGGTCGCCGAGCAGTACCAGGTGGTGCTCTCCAGACAGGGAAACCGCTCCTACCTTTCGACGGAGGAGGGGCTGAAGGCGAGCAATTGGTTAGGCTGGCTGAGCTCGCTTAGCTCCACCCGGAACGCTGCTTATGTCCTAAATAACAATAAAGTCCTGGACCTGCTTTCCACCTATGGACATTCGACCGCAAACAACGAGGTTTACGCCGACTTCGCGACCGGCTTCCACCTCTGGAACGCACAACCCGGGCACTGCGGTAGCACGTGGCTCAAACTGCGCGATGCCAATGGTCAGCTCATCGACTGTGACGATATCGACTTCGACAGTGCCATCGGCGATGCGTTGGTGGAGCAAGATGCGAAGGTGCCCGACGCAAAAGCCGAACTCGATGGCGATGGCAGGTGGAGCCTGAACCTCAATGCCCCCAAGCGGAAGTTGATTAGTATTTCTGCGAGCGACCGCGAACAGCTTAAACAGAATTTGGATACACAGTTCCGTGCGCGGGAAAATCTCTTCTACTACTCCTCGACCCTGACGGTGGTGGCGGCAATTGTGGCAGTGGCGCTGTCAACTTATGGAGTCATCTACGCTGCTATGCTGCGAGACCCCGAAACGGGTACGATGCGTGCTGATTATCCAGCTGTATTACATCCAGGACGTTTCTTAAGCTTCGTGCTTGACTTTGCCTTTGTGGGTTTCGTCAGTGGTGCGTTCGGGTTGCTTTTCTGTTCGAAGGCGACCGTGTCAGGCGTGAGCGTGTTTGGTGTGCACTTGAGCAAGGCGTTGTTGAATGCTTTGAGTGTTGTTGTCCTAATGTTGGCGGTAGGCTACATTGCTTTGGGCTCGGCGGCGCTGGCCAATGTGGCGGACAAGGTGGGTTATTCTGCGCAATTCTGTGAGTACCACGACCTCGTCATGTCGCACGGACGGGCCATCCACACTCCCCGGTGGTGCCAGAACATCCCCATTCTGCGCCGACTTTGTGCCGTGAATGTGGACAGTGTCGTGCCCCTCAAGAGCGCCAGCGTACCCGGTAGCACAGCCGTGAGCTTCACCGAAGTACAAGCCCCTGAGGCGAACGCGGCAGACGGCACTGAGTACTCGTATCAGAAGTTGTACGTCGCCGGCGACAAGTACGCCGCTGAAGATGGCCCCGAGTATAGTCATGAACGCAAGGCCGTCCAGGTCGCCGTGAATGACTTCCTCTACAACGACCAGGCGACCAACTACGACGGCCGTAACCATACTCTCTACGGCCGCTATCCCGAAGCTAAGTTCGGCGAGACTCAGTTCAAGCTTCAGAACCCATACGGCTACCCCGTATACTTCAACGCCGACTTGCAGATCCAGCACCTGACTGCCCTCATGCAACTGGTAGACGACTTCCGCTTCTGGGCACCACGCAAAAACTGCTGCTTCCCCGCCAGCGACAACATACGCAACCTGCTCAGCTCCGCTTCGCGCGGGTTGTACATGGACTGGGCCATTAACCGGGGTTTGCTATTCGTCGCGCTTGGCCTGTTCGCCTTCTTCAACCGGTCTGCCTCCCTGCTACCGCTGTACGTACTCACCTTCTTCTCTTTCGCCTCCGCCATGATCCGGCTCCCAACTACTTTTTACTCGGCCAATGCCAAGTTCGAGCTGGAGTCGCGAGTGCGCGCGCAGGAACAACAGGAAGTGGATGCCGCTATCGCAGCCACTCGCACGGCCGAGAAGATCTGGCCATTCACTGAGCCGGGCTTCATGGATCGTTTCCGAGGCATCGTAAGACGCAAAGAAGACGCGCGCTGGTTCGGTCTCTACTCCCTTTTCAATCGGAACCCGTTGGAGACAGAGGAGGAGGCAGGCGCATTGCAGCAACTCTATCACTCACAGGGAGCCTACCAACTGCGTGAGGTGCTCTTCACTCCTTGCGGCGCGGACATTGGGCTCTTCCTCCTGGGGTTGGTGCTTATATTGGGGCGCTCGACTTCAGGTCGCGCTCAACTGGTGCCTGGCGTGTTCGCGATCTTCCTATGCGCCGTAATGCTCTTCTGCATCAACTTCCGCTCCCTTCAAAGTTTGTGGCAGATCGGGCAAGACTCGCTGGACGAGTGTCTTCAAAAGGCGACGGAAGCCGCAATTCACGTTAACGATGCCCTTACTGGGCCGGGTGGACTCGGTGCCTGTCTGCCATATTACGCACAGCAATGCGTAAAGACTCTCAAAGGCGACCCGACGGCGAACTTCCACTACCCGAGGGGTCCGGTAGCCGTACGAAATTTCCCAGTGTCCGATGTGGCCGTAGTCAGCAATGAATTAGGACTTCAGTTCCCAGGTAGGATCGGTCGTTCAGATCTCCAGCACTTGGCTACAGTCCCAGATGAAAAACGATTGAGGTTGTACAAGACATTGGTGGTGCATGGCGGCCTAGCAGGTGCTCGAGCAGAGTTATATCGCTCGTTACCTGTACAGGTACCATTCTGCAAGCTCTTCCACGAGGACGGTGCACCGGCACTGAATCCAAATGCAGACTTCGGTCCGCTTGTAGCAACTATCCAGGTCGTGAACCATACCTTACGCGCGAACAACGCAGGTCTCAGCGCCACTGACAAAAATGAACACGACTCTTTCCTCTCTCTATACGCGCAAGAGGAGTTCCTGCCCACCCCCGGAAAAGTGCTACTCCGCAAGGAGGGGCACACCTATTCCGTCCGTTTCGATGCGAACCAGCAACGTTTGACGGTGCGTGGTCCGTCTATCGTGGCTAATAAGACCTACACCCTCCGTACCTCTAAGACTGGTAGTCATGCCCGCAAGGACATGTACATCAACGGTCGCAATCCTGACGACTCGGTTTCCTCAGGCTCTGCCACGCTGCATCCGGCACCCGCCAAGGCTGCCGCTGGCGTCGCCACCTGCGAAGCTCCCGGAGCCCTTAGACTCGCCGTACCACCTGAGCACACGCCCTGGATGCACAAAACCTTCCTCGTGCGACCTACACGCGAACCGAACGCAACTGCGTTCGAGATCGACCCCGAAGAAATCAAGGTGTACTACGACAAGGACTGTGGTGAGCTCTACCTTCGTCACGAGGATCTGACGGCTGACCAGGAGTACGAGGTCGAGTGGTTCGTGTATCCGGATGCACCTGAGCCAGTTGATGCTAGCGCACGTGCTGACGAAAACGGGGCCGTACAATTCGACGTCGAGCCCGAAATGCCCGACCTGCGATCCTGGATGGTTTTGAGAGATGAGAGCGGCGCTGTCGTGGACATCGACCCGGCTATGACAGATGCTTATCAGTTCTTCTTCCCTGAGGCGAAGCCGAGTGTGTGGCAAACACTGACAGGACATATGGCGGCCCTCGCCTCTATGATACGAGGAGGGGACAAGGAGGCCGAGGCCATGGAGGAGCCGATTCCGTGCACCGTCGTGCAGTGTGTCAACCCGCTCCAAAAGGTGTATCGGGTCGACCCGAACTTTGGGGAGGGTTTGAAGATACTGAACGCGCGCATCCATGAGTTCCGTGCCCGTCAGCGTGCTTGTGAAGTGAATGAAAACATCGCCAGTCTTTGGCCCACTCTCATGAAGGCTACCGACTACCTTGACTTCTGGAAAGCCCGTGGAGTCGATGCAACCGACGCGTTTGGCAATCTTATCGACCCGCTTGCGGAACCTGCTCATGTCGAGGCCTTCCACAGCCATTTGCAACGGATCGCGGAGGGTGAGAACGACCTGAGACGTACTTTGTCGCAGTTGCTGGACGAGAAGGTAGAACAGCTCACAACTCAAATTGAGGCGGTGCGTGTATGGATGCGTGCTTACGAAGACCCGTTGCTACATACGGCACAATTGCAGGCGGATTTGAACGACTGGTCGATGCACCCAGATGACGATGGAAGTGCGTCTTCGGCTCAGTTGGTATTACAATCGCAGAAGGCGTTATACAGTGCGCGTCTTAGTGGTTTCTTCTACCCCTGCAATGTGCCGGACGCGTTGTTGAGTAAGCGGCCCAACCTTGCAGCACAGTTCCGCGTCTGGTCTAACATTCTGCAGAGCTGGTTGTTCGCGGAAGAAGGTGTGGATGTAGGTCACGCCGAGACTCGGTTGCGTGTCAGTGCGGTCGTGCGCGACGTAATGCAAGCGCTGAAGTTTACATTACACGCGAACGAGAAGGGCGCGAGGAACCAGTACAGGTCGGTGCTGCATTACGTAGTGGGTTCGCACACTCTCCGGGGCACGGACGCGACGTGGAAACCGGATGGGCTCAAGGCGCACACGGCTCTTGTGCGGATCTGGACCGAAGATGAACAGACGGGTACGGCGGACTTCAGCAAGTACCCCGAGTGGTTGCCTTGCTTGCTCCGGCTTACGCCAGGCGCCCTCCAAGTATTGCTGCCCAACGGTGACGATTTAGTCCGACCGGTATCCGGGAACTTGGCGTTCCCGTGGCAGAAGAGTACGGGACTGTACGTGCCGTTGCACGCCTTCCACAAATTTGAGTTGGTAGAAAAAGCGGAGGAGCCGTATGCTGGCGAGAGCGGCGAGGGGTCCCGAGAGGAAGACGGAAACGTGTTGCTGCGCTTCATGACGACGAAGCTTGTGTGTCGAAAGAACCAGAGAGATGGTGTGCCCGACGCTTATGCGCGACGTGTTGAAGACGACCAACTGGGCAACGAGATCTGCTTCACGGACGCCTCGGGCCAACGGCGTATGCGCTACCGCCTTATGCTGGGGCACTGCGTGAGTCGAGAGCAAGCACTCGCATATCCACAAGGCGAGGTAGACCCGACGCTTTCGAGCAGCGAGGTGAACGTGTACCCACTTTCCTTCAGAATGGCACCAGCATTTGCGGAGCAATGGCGTCGTGCTATTGTCATGGCACAGCTGGACACGCCACACGACCACTTGTTTGACGCGACAGTGGACGAACCCGAAACTAATCGCGAACCGGAGGAGGACCAGGCATCTACGATTATTGATCCACCGAGCGAGGAGTCCGACCCGGTCGTGATTCCGGAGATTGTGCCGGAGCCGGTTGTGGTTGAGGATCCAGAGCCGGTCGAGATTCCGGAGCCAGTGATAGTGCCGCCACCACCGGAGAGTATTTCGGAGTCTAGCTTGTCGGAGCAATCTCGCTCGGTAGAGTCGAACCCCGAAGGCATCTCGCTCTACGAAGGGCCGATCACGAACAATAAACTGCACGGTGAGTGTGTCATTCGTGATGAAGGCGGCCGCGCCGTCTACGAAGGTCCGCTCTCGCAAGGGCTGCGTGAAGGTCGCGGTAAGGTAGGGTTCACGGACGCGTACGGCACCCAATGGACGTATGAGGGTGAGTTGCGGGGTGACGAGACAGGCGGAAAGTGTGTGGTTTCGCTTGCGGATTCAACGGCTGTGGCGAATGTTACAGACCGTTACACACTTGTAAGTTACACGGGTACGGTGAGTGCACCGCCCAAGAAACGACGGTCGATGCTGTTACCAGAGGAAGTGGAATGTCTGTTGCATAATAAGCCATTAATGAGGGAGGAGGTGTATGATAAGGGTAGTCTTCCAAGCAAGAAGAAGGTGCTGGAGTTGGTCAAGAGTGTGTATGCCCGTCCGGAGTCTTATGGGTACCGGCTGACCGCAGACCGATTCGCGGTGGCGGATGTGTTACAAGACAAGTACTTGTTGGATGCGGCGCGGGATGGTGACTGTCCGCCCTCACGGTTCTTGCAAACTTTCTTGCCGTACGCCTGTGCCTGGCAAGACGAGACCACCTTGCTACGAGCATCTCCGGAAGGCGAGTGGCGTTTCGTGGACGGCTCTGTGTTCAAGGGAGCATTGGAAGGCGGCAAGCCGACCGGCAAGGGTGTGTACAACCATTGGCCAACAAACACATTGTTCGAAGGCAACATGCGGAACGGGTTGCCAGATGGTGAGGGTACGTTGGTGACGGGCGACAGCAAGAAGCGTGCCGTCTATCGTGGTTCCTTGATCCAGGGCGCACGCGAGGGCCAGGGGACGTTGACCACGCACGACAAGAAGGCTACGGTCAAGGCTGTCTGGAACCAAGACAAGTTGGGCACCGGCCCTGTCTCGGTCGAGTTGGATCCGAGTCTCATGTCGCAGTTGGACGTGCCCTTCACCAAGTTCGAAGGTTACGTGCGCGACGGAGTGCCAGAAGGCGAAGCGACCATGTCGTATGAGAACAAACGGACCTTCAAGGGACAAGTTAACAACGCCATCCGTGAAGGCAAGGGTGAAATTCGGGACGAAAGTGGCAACCTTGTCATCGAAGGCAATTTCCACGACAACTCGCCTGAAGGCCTTGTTCGATTCGCCAAATATCCAGACGGGCTCGTGTACAAGGGCGAGATGTCGAAGGGCGCTCGTCAAGGCATGGGTCATCTGTTCGACCCGAAGACAGATCAAGTCGTGTATGAAGGCACCTGGGCTAACGACGTGCCGCATGGCCGCGGTGTGTACCGAGCTGCTGACGGCGAATACGAAGGCGAATTCAAGAACGGAAAACGCCACGGAAAGGGACGCTTCACCTTCAAAGAGAAGCCGCTCGCGAACGGCAAACAGCGTATGTACGAAGGCGATTGGAGCAACGACCTACCTCACGGAGTTGGCAAATACACCAACGACGACGCGCTCGAATGTGTTTATCGTCTCGAAAAAGGAGAGATCGTCAGCAGCTCTGTCAACAGCTACGCTCCCACTTGCGGGAAGGCACCTGCCGTCTCAAGCAAACCTACTGTGCAGCCTACCTCATTCAAACCCTACTCAGACCGTGACCTCCCGTGGAAGAAAGCCAAACATGCGTCCATCGGAAATGTCCTCCAAGTACTCACAGATAACGCACCCACCTGGAACGACACCGCTGGCAAATCCGCCACATTCATTGACCCCACCCGGGTCGTCCCACTCCAACGCATCTCTTCCGACTAAGAATGAATTCACTACGCGCACGTGCACACCACTATGCGCACACCACTCTGCGCACAGCGATTATGCGCACACCGATTATCTCGACAAAAGATGCACTACCCGAGAATGCGACAAATACTTCACACGCATACGTGAGCTATATGGGTTTTTTTTTTTGGTTAACCCTTTTTAGCTGCTGCGGAAATTTCGATAATTTGGTCCTAATGGCACTCACTTATCCCGAAACTAACTGACTCGAGATATCGCCGCTTGCAACGCGCCGCTTGCAACGCGCCCGCGAGAATGCCAGCAGAGGTATTCGACCGGTGGTCGGTTGTTT